TTTCAAGTACTTCTGAGTTTAATACGCGTTGAATAACCTACATTCTTTGCTTAATTACATTCCCTTGATAATGCACAACTTTCTGTAAGCAAAGTGCTTTTACTGTGTAACAATACCCTTGAAATTCGATACTTTAACCAATAATTAATATCATTTCGAACATTTCATTTCACAAATGACTGGTATGATATATATATTTAATTTAATTGATATTGTAATGCATGAGTAACATTTGATATTCAATCTATAGATGAAATCAATCTGTCTTATTCTGGTGCAATCTATATTCGTAATTGAAGATGATCACTTCCATTCATGCAAGTTCTCGTTTAACTAGCATCACATAGTTGGATACACAAGATACCTCTATGAACAATATCAAAGATTAGTATAGTTAATTAGCCTTTCATTCACCGGTAATCATCTTAAGTGAGTATCTTAAAACAAGTGTATACAGAAAAAATGTAACAATTACTCTTTTCTTTCATGTAATTAAAATTATTTTCATTTCCTATATTTTGCTACTACTTGCTGATATATATGTATTTGTAACAACATCTTCACTACCACTAATGTTACGACTCACGTTTATAGTACAATGTTCCTTCTGTACATTAAAAGTAATTATGTTACTGATTTACTACATTAAGAAAATAGCTATTTTACATTTCTCTTAGCATCGTGGTACATTAACTCTAGTATATACTTAATTGAATCTTAACTAAAGAGATTTTGCACTTGAGTCTTGTAAAATGGATACGTGTCATTCTTCCCATTTCGTTTGTGGTTTGTCGCAACATAGGACAAGTATGAGACAAGCCTTGAAAAATTACCACGACGTCCACTAGTACAAAGGTTTCATTAAGAAACACTTTGTAATTTATTTTCGTACCTTTACTAACGTCGTTGCTTGAAACACGAACGACAACTCGAAGAAAAACTGTGTGACTGGACGTATTTTTCGTTCTAAATAACAAATATCGACAAATATTTTTTCTATTAAGTAATTATTCTTTCTTATTTCAAGTTGATTAATACATAAATGGTTTATTAATACTTCGTTGTTCTCAAGTAAATGTACGTTTTTTTTTTTTAAGTTTCGATTTATAGCTTTTTGTAGTCAACAATGTTTCTTAACAAATATTTTAATTAAAAAATTAATTTTACTTCCTCTCTCTCTCTCTCTCTCTCTTTCTCTCTTTCTCTTTTCGTTATATTTATAGTATGTTATCCTCTTACATTATATTGAAATAAATTGGATTAAATACTGCGACTATAATAAATGCAATTTGTGATTGATCTAAATACGTTTTGAATGATTTAGTCTTTCCACATGACATATTTTAGTATTACTTATACAATGGTACTACCGATTAATAAGTAATGCTAGAAATTTCATTAAAAAATACTGAGTCTCCTCATTTAATATTAATTATTGAAAATTTCGATATTATTTTATTAAACTAACTTAATACATACTTTATACGTACCATTTGAAAAATTTTAATAGCTACGAAAAATCGTTTTATAATATAAAAGCTCTTCTCTCTCTCTCTCTCTCTCTCTCTCTATTCATATGTATTTTTTGTTCATAAATAATCTAGATTTATGCAAAAAACAATATTGAATACTGCGTTAAAATAAGAAAGAAAATTCAATGCATCGATTTATTTTTCTTTTTCTTTTATACTGTTCGTCATTTCACAACGCATATACATTTCTATGAATATTAATTCGACTACAAACGGATCTCTATCTTCTAAAATCCTACGAAGCTGTATTTTCTATAACTGACAAAATTAAGTTCCTAGCGAAATACATTCAATAAAAATACGTTCAAAAGAAGCACGTCGATAGAAGAAAAAAATTAAATCAGATTGCTCATAGTTCGCCAATCGACAAAAGGGGAAATGACAATGAAAAAGAGAGATAGAGAAAAAGCAGTATTAATAAAACGTAATTTAACTCAATTGATCTTAATAAGTCGTATTTATCGCTACCCAGTTATTATGATCACATGAAATGTTATTTCTCTTTAAAATCCATTTCTATTTTTTTATAAACAATTTTATACTAACCGTTTAACATTATTCGAAATATCTGGAAATTCATGATGTTTATTTTCTAAATAAAATTTGAAGAAATAGAACAAATGTTCTTTCATCTTCCGTCATATGTAAAAACACATGATCGAGTTTAATTGCTCGTCGGTTGATTGAATTTGATTAGTTTAATCTAAATGGTTGACAAGATGATGATGATGATGATGATGATGACGACGACAACGTCGACTTATTTTTATCGAACTTTATAAAGAACGGAAATCCGAAGGGCTCACAATAACGTTCATTGTCTGTATTCTATTACTGCTGAAGAGAAGAAAGCAAAAGCTGGTTATACTTCAAGTCACGTGACTCCAAAAGATGGGGACCAAAAGCAAAGAGAGTGAGAGAAACAGAAAGGCAGGACAAGTGAGAGAGAAAAAGAGAAAGAAACAGAGGCTGAGAGAGGGGAGGAGAAAGAAGAAATAAGCAAGCAATAGGTACGTTCAATTAATTCAGCCCTCGATTTTCAACATCTGTCTATCGAAGAGCAGACGCCAGAACGTGAACTTTAGAGTTTTAATTACTTATCCCACCCTCTTTCGACGCATGGCTTTTCGTGTCCTTTGTTTATCGTGTCACGTTTCCGATACATACCGCTATTTGAGTCAACAAAGTTAAAAAACAACGTATATATATATATATATATATATATACCTATATAAATGTTTAATCAGTAAAAGAATTCAATTGAATTAAACGATTGTGTAAAACGATGAAATATAATGAGATTTATTAATATAATAATTTGTAATAATAAATGAAGATTTATTGTTGATAAAAATTACATCGTAACTAATTTAAAGAGTAAATAAAAAAGAGAATTGCGTTTTAAAGTTTAATTATTCTATTTCAAAAACTTTCTAAATAAATTGTAATTAATTATTCTCAACACCCAACGAAATAGCAAAGTGGAAAAACAGGATGAAGAATATCAAAAGAATCTGGAGAAGTGTTTGAAGGTGTTTTTTGTTTCCTTCGCTTCTCGAATACATCCAATTTCAACGCCTTAAGTTGGAATAAATTATCGAGCTCTACGCGATTAGTTTAGACTTTCACGTTTGCTTGCAGCAGCATCTAAAATAATCCTACACAAAATCGGTCAAGTTTTCATACCAAAGAAACAGAAACTTTCAATAGTATGGATGATATGCATCACTTAAAAAAATTAAACGTTTATGTTATTAAATGAATATTATATTATGACGAAGTTTCTCTTGTTAATCTAATTAAAACGTATCGTTAACATATTTAATGGTATTGTTACAGATTTTATATAAGGATTACTTAAAAGTTGTTAAGTATAAAAATATTCAATATTGATCGTTTCAACTTGGTACAACTTGATACTACATTTGTATTTAAAACATACTGCATCGTTAACAGCTGTTACCATATACCTATTCACGTAAATAAGTAAATATATACTAATTATCTCTTCTGTAATGGATGTAGATTTCTTTCTTTATTACACGATGCAAGACCTCAACGAGAAACGAAACTATTGTTAAATTTCCCCTCTCAATTTTGTTCGTACACTATTTTTTTTATTTTCAAGAAAAACGCTTTTGTAACTTCCGTTCACGTTTATAGAATAGACCGGTTATTTCTTCTCTTTTTCTATGTCTGTGCCTCTCTCCCTCTTTTTCATACAAATCATAACTTGTACATAATGTATGTGTGTGTTTGTATGTGTATGTAGCGACTAGAAGCATTGAAAGAAAAACACATTCTTATCTTATATAATACTTATAACCGTAGAAAAGATCTATAGAAGTAGTTTCATTTCTTTGAAACCAACTGTCCTTCGTGCTAGCATTCGCTTTCTACTTTTTTAAATAAATGGCTTCTATCAAAAAGTCTTTAATTGTTGTCACTGTGTGACCAAGGACGTAAATACGTCATGATTAGTTGAGATTTGTTAAAAACGTCCCAGAGGACACGGGATGATCGAAGAGTTTCAAAACGACCTGCGATTTGTTTCAAACTTGATGTTCAATTGAGTTTTAATATCGAAGGTATTCTATAAAAAGGAAAAAATAAACATTGGGGGGGGGAGAGATTTATATATATATTCTAATGTTACGATCAAAACTTATCTATTTAAAAATTTCAATTAAAGTTACGACTAAAGAAGAAAGTAATTATCGGATTGAATGTAAAAAAAATAAAATAAAATATATAAAAAGAAATGAAAAAAACAAATAACAACATAATTTCGTTTGAAATTATTTTTACAACAAATTCAACAGAAATATCTTTCATTACGTACTAAGAAACTAATTATTTGTAGAGTACCAATCAAAACGCGAACGGAACTCATCATCTTTCTCGTTAATCTTTTTGGATTTTCTCTTACTCCATTAGTAATGTTTCATTCTTCTTTCTTCTTTTTCTTCTTTTTTATTGTTTTATTTTTTAGAAAAAATTCCAAAAATTAAGATCTTAATAATGTTTAAAAATGTGTATACAGAAAATCGAAGCCACATCATGCACGCATATAGAATAATACTTTTGACAGAGGCTAAGTGAGAGATTTCTTCGAAGGCTCACAATTAGTACACCGGTCTACCGATAGGAGCGCATCGATCGCGAGCGTGAGGCTCGATCGACGCTTTACGTTCAGTCTTTCCGAGTCTCGTTTGCGCGTGGGTCGCGCGCGCGTCGCTTAACTTCCGCGCGTCTACGCGTTCTATATCCGCACGCGTTTTTATTCGCGCATTGTTTTATTGATAAAGACGTGTGTCTGTCTTTTATTATTTTTTTTCCCATTTCCGTGATAATCAAAATATTATATTATTCTCTTTCGACAAAATTATTACGAGTTTTACGAAGAACGGCAGAGAAAGAAAGAGAGATAGAGAGAGATTAAGAGAGAGAGAGAGAGAGAGAGAGAGAGAAAGGATGTTCAAAGTGTAATATTATTTCTTGTTTAAGTAGTGTGTTATGTGACAAAAAAAAATATTTCTTTTAAAAGGATAGTAAAAAAGAAAAAGAGAAGAAATAAACAAAGATAGAAAAGGAAAGAGAGATAATAAAATAATCTATCTCTCCGTAGAAAATCTTCCTTTTCTTCTTGTTCCCTTTCCAAGGCCCTTCCCTTTTCCTTTCGAAAGTTTAGCGTCACTCTCCTTCGAACGATCTCTCTTTGTGTATTTAACGCAACACAAGACCACGTGATTTCGAGCGTTCCTTCTAATCTTTTCTTTTTCTTCTTCTCCTTCTTATTTTTTTTTCTTCCTTCTTCTCCTCTCCTCCTCCTCCTCCTCCTATTTCTTTTCTCTATTAGAACGATCTCAGCTCGAGGCTATGCGCTTTGGAGCATGAGGAGGTGGATAGTAGTACAATACGACCTATGACGGTGTGTGAGATAAGCCTGAAGCGAGTTTTTTTTTTGACAGAAGAAACGAAGTAAAAAAAAAAAAAAGAGATAGATGGATAGATAGAGTGCCAAGTTTTAGCCGAGTTTTCTTAGAGTTTTTCAACGGTCGTGCTTCTTGGTGTCCTCGCAGCTGGTGCGCGTGCAGCTTTGTTCCTTGTGAACAAGGAAGAAAATAAGGGTGAAAAAGAAAAAGACAGAAGAATAGGTCAAAGGATACTAAACTTTACTTGCACGGACTGCTTATATTCATTCAAGGTGAGTACTCCACCATAATATATTTAGAGTGAAACATTAACGATCTCGCAAAAGTGTGGGACTTAGATTTTGTTGCAACAATGCAACGATACTAAATAAAGAGTTAAGTGAAAGAGAATGACTGAACGGATAAAGGAGAAAGTTGAAAGAAGAAAGAAGTTTGGAGAAGTTGCCATTTATGGTAGTAACCGAATGGATCATCTTCGGTTTATTTTATTTTTCTTCTTTCCTTTTCTCTCTCATATTCTTTCCATCTTATTCCTTCTATCCACGATCTTCTCCTTGGTCGGTAAGAAAATGCCGTTTGAGGTTTCCTTGGGACACGCGAACAAGGAGTCAACTTCGAAGCTGGGCCTACCTTGCCTTGCTATTCCCGTGTCCGTGTCCGTGTCACACGAGGTCGTAACCCAACTCTCGATCCTACCTTCGCAGCGTGTGAACGGGACTACTTTGGAATGGAATCTCGTGCAGCATGTTGAGGGAAGACCCAAGCGAACAGATCTCTTCGTCTTATATTGTTCCCCATTTAATTTTCTTTTAGTCCTATTTTTCTTCTCAAGATCGAGACCTTGGTTCCATATGATACTCTGAAAATCTTTATGATCGACCGTTGAAACATGAACTGGAGATAGTTTAAAGACTTGTGCTGTTATTTAGTTTTTTGTTGAAATTAATGAAACGATGATAATTCTTAGCTCATTAAAGTTATTTCGAAAGATAATATTTAAATATATTTTTGTTTTTAAAAATATTTCCTCGAGTTACACCATTGTTTTTTTTTTTTTTTTTTTAAGATAACCACTAGTTCTATCGCAAGAACTTTTTTGTGTTGTCGATATCCACTGAAACTAGTTTTTCTTTCTTTTTTTGTTCCGGAAAACATGGTCATTGTTAGCAGCATTGATTCTAAAACATTGTCTATTCTCATCGTTTAGAATATTAAAAAAAAACATTTTGATTTTTAACATTGTGTCAAATTTGATTTTTAATTTTAATTTTATTTTTAATATTTTCATTGGTTGTTTTTTTTTATTTTTTTTTTTTTAACAGAAAGTAGGATAGTTCATTTTCGTTGGTTTGGTTAGTGCTTGTCATTCGTGTTTTTTGAATCTTTAAAATCGATTGCTATTCGATTTCGTTGATTGCTACGTGATTAGTTTTTCGTGTGTTCCATTTGTCGAAAGTTACGATGGGCAGAGGAAGAATTTCCTTGTGATCGTAGGTCGAGGTTAGGAAAGGAAAAAAGGTTTAGGTTTGTTGTAGGGTTGGTTCAAAAGGAAGTTACTTGCAAAGGTACCAATGAGAAAGAAATAAACTTTTCTTCCTTTCTACATATATATATATATCCCTCTACTTGCAAATTGGCTTACCCTTTAATTTCATATTTACGTGACTACATTTAATCTATGGCTCGTTGAACAAGAGCTTGGATAATTTGATATTAAAAATTTCGTCTGTAGAAGAAAAAGAGAGAACATTCTTATTTGTTTTTCTGCATAGTAAGTAAGAATGTTAATTTAATTAGTATGCATTCTTTATCAAATTTGAATAATATTAACTCACATCACAAATGAACGTTAACAAAACTTGAATAATATAATAATCGTCTATGTAGAGGGAAAAAATAATAGATTACTTTAATAACTGATTTATATTTCAAATCATGCGTTGTGAATATAGGGAGATATATATATATATACGTCTTTTCAAGTTATATTATGGAAATTCATAAATGTATTGAAATGCATCGAAATGCTTTTCATCTGGTGGATTACTGATATCCTTTGAATTTATAGCATAATAATATGCAACACCTTAGAAGATCTCGTGTTCTACTTAACGATTCGATGCAGTTAGCGTTAAGGGAGATACATGCACATATAAATCAACGAAGAAATGTGCGAGGAATAATCGAAGGAGTATAGCGAGCAACGAATCGTCACGGTCAACGATCTTTAAGATCGCGATCGAGTTGGTTCTGTACTCGTCCCCCTTGCTCTCGTCCCTTGCACAAAGTACTATCCGTCTTTCTCTCCTTCGACACGAGAAGAGGCGAACCGGATCCAGGCCCATACTCCGAAAGGCGACCTACGTTTGTATGTATACGTAATGTACGTATGTATATATCTTTGTTGAGTGCCTCTTCGTCGAGCTATGGTCGAGCTCTAACGAAAATTATCAAAAGAATTTAATATCGCCGCTTTTAATTTCCATTACGATAGCTAGGTCAAATCGATTAGTCTCTTTTTCTATATATATATATATATATATATTATATATATTATATATACATATAATATATATCGCTCTCTCTCTCTCTTGTTCTTTTTTCCTCTTGACGTAAAAATGATTCAACTAAAAGCTACGATAGGAGAGAGGATTCCTCTTGGGTCGTGCTAATATTTTTTCTCCGCTCGTTGAATCTTACTACATAGAAAAGGTAAAAAAAGGATCAGTGTTCATGGTAAGGATAATAAAGTTTCAAACCGATAGTCAGAAAGCATCCAACCAAACTCGCCCATAATTGGTCGGTTCACCGATTTTTCACCAACATTTGTCACATACGACCTATCGAACGATAACGCTTAATGGCGACACCGATCTCTTCTTTTCTTTGAGCTTCCCCTTCTTTCTTTTTTGGCAGATCGAATTTCTTTTACGACTTTTCACATATTCTAGCATCGTTATCCCGTCGACATAAATCAGCTTCGAACGTGACCCTTGGAGAAATGTTCAGTCGTCGTCTTCGTCGTCGTCGTCTTCGTGGTCGTCGGTGTTGGTGTCAGGAGCGGTGAATGCATCCAATGAGAATGTGTAAAAGAGAAAGAGAGAAGATTCTATGCTAAGGTGAAGGCTTCGAGAAGAGATTCCTTTGTACACGTGATACCTTTATATTGTTACGATTTTTAGTTTCGATAATTTCGAGAGAAAGGATACGTTCGATATTTCCTTGTTCCTCATCCACTCTCGTTTTTCTCGCTACATGAAACTAATCAAAAAAGAAAAATTAACAACGAAGGATAAAAAAGGGAACACGATCTTCGCGCATCATTATTTTTTCACATAGAAAGAAATATCACATGTTGAAAAATTCTTAGCTGATTCTCTCTCTCTCTTTCTCTTTTTCGTTGAAGTTTTGAAAATTTTACGAGAATACGAGCTTTTTTTTTTTTCCTTTTACATAGATCGGCCAGGTCGCGAATGTGGTAATATTCGCTCATACGTCACGTTGGATTTTAACGTGTCCTTAGAGATATCTATTCTGAAAAAAGCTTTTGCCTTGAAGAGAAAGAAAGAAAGAAGAGATGAAAGAGGGAAAGAAGGTGGATTTTTTACAGGACGCAAAATCTCTATAAATCTGTCGCCGAAAGCTATGTACAGAGCGTAGATACGTGGCTGAAGAAACCGAATATGTGTCACAAGAGAAGATTTCAGGATATTTTGCGTGCGTATCTAACACCATAAATACATATATGTATTCTTTGTAATGTTGCTAAGAAAGATATTTTGTTTCTTGGATCAAAAATTCTATGATCGGATAAATATGATTCATTTTTATATTTTGTTGGAATAGTTTTGTTCGAAGGGATGATTTTGAAATGAATAATATGATAAACTTGTTTCGATTTGTGTTCAACGATGGATCAGTGATTTGTTAATTCATTTAATGTATTCGCTATTTAATAAGCATTTCATACTCCGATTGGATCATCTCGAAAAGCGTGTTTTAAGCGTGACGGTTATTTCGTATTGCATAAATGTAAGTATATAAATATGTATGAGTAACGTAATACACCATGAATTTAATCGAAGTAAATATTTTTCGAATATTCATGGCCATGACTAATATTTTTCTCCACGCGTACACTCATTCTTGCATGATGTTCATTTTCACAAATGACAGTCTCTTATTCATTATGAAATCTAATGTAGATTTATATTGATTTTTTTTTTTTTTTTTATAGTAAAAAGTTTTATATCACGTCGAAATCGAATAATTACGAGACATATTAATCTATTCCTTTTGCTAATGTATGAAGTATCTGTTTTAATTAAACATCGGTACTGTGATGATTAAAAATTATCTGGAAAAATGCTTCACTTTCGATAAGATGATAAAAATAGGAAAAAAAAAGAGAGGGAAAGGATTCCTTCATAGATGAAGAGTAATCACTGACGCATAATTACATTGATATTTTCTTTTTTTTTTTTTTTCATTCATGCCGGAATAGTATCAACTTTCCGAGAAGAATCGTCTGACTCATTGCCTTTTAAAATCCATTCGGTGTCCGAACGTTCGTGCGTGTCGCGTCGTGAAAAGCAGCGGCTCGCAGCCACCGCTTCGTGTATTTTCTTTCTTTCGTTCTCTCTCCTTCTCTCTCTTTCTCTCTCTCTTTGTCTTTTTCTTTTCATCCACCGTTGACTACTCTCTCGACGTGTGTGAGGTAATGGTTCGTGTCACGAAGTTGAAAGAGAACGCTCTTCTTTCTCCTTTCCTCTTAAGGAGAAATGAGTCGTTTCTTTTTCTTTTATTTTCTCGTTCCGTTCTTCCAACTCTCGGTGACTTGTAAGCCATGCGCGCGAACGCCCGCGCGCATTTACCTTCTTATCTTTGAAGGGAATCGAATACGACGTTTTGTATTTACCAGTGCATAAGTCGCGAAGAACTAAACCGTATTTTCTCTACGTGCTTATTTTTTTTATTTATTTACTTTTTTTTTCTTCTTCTTCTTCTTCTTCTTCTTCTTTTTCTTCTATATCCTCCTACACACTCTTTTCTTTATTTTCTTTTTTTTTTTAACCCTTTTATTTTTGGTCTTCGTCCAGAGTCAGTCTTTGAAAATAATTCAACGTTGAATGGTGTAATCGTACGAAGGAATAAAAATATTCCGTATCCCATATCGCACCAGCACAATTTCCCTCATGCAATCTCATACCAAGGATAGGAGGAGGATGTAAAGGAAAGAAAGAAGGAAGGAAGGATGGATGGATGGATGGAT